TTACTCCTGCTGGTACTATTACTCCTGCTGGTACTATTACTCCTGCTGGTACTGTTACTCCTGCTGGTACTGTTCCTCCTACTGGTACTATTATTACTCCTGCTGGTACTGCTCCTCCTCCTGCAGTACTCCTCCTCCCACCATCTGCATTGACTGAGTACCTGTGCCAGGCATTCTAGATAGATTTTTTGGAAGCTGTTCATTTGCCCTTGCTTTACTAATGAGGAAACACGTGGAGTCTCACGCACCCACCCCAGGCCACACAGCCGGCAGGGGGACAGCAGTGTGACCTCTGAGCCTGCCTCTCATATAATGTCCAGACCATGGGAGAGATCTAGAAGGTGCCCACAGAACTGCGCATGCCCTCCCTGCCGGAGGAGCTGGTGGGGGAGCCTTGTGGACTCTGGAGTTCAGCCCCAGCCTCTCGAGGCAGACCATACAGTGTCTGTGGATGGGTCTGCCCCAGCACCCGCAGCCATCTTGGGACCAGGACTTGCACGCAGTTCTCTCGTTATTTCACTGTTTCCACATCTGTCCCCTTGTTACCCCACGAGTTCTTCTAGGCAGGACCCCATGTGGCGTTTGTCCCTGTCCCACATGCGGCCCACCTAGAGTACTAGGTGCTGGTGAGCATCTGCTGTGTCAGGGAGGCAGGTTTCCATGAGTTGGGGCATCCTCTATAAGCCTCTGTGATGTGAAGCAGGGGCTGGGGGTCCACAGAGCCCCAGGGAGGCCCAGTAAGGGACCTTCAGGAGCTCTCTCAGCAGGCACGTCAGTCAGTAACCATCCTCTGTGTGCAGGAAAAATCCCACATCGAAGTGTTCATGAGACCACTGTCCAACGGGGCCAGTGCCCTAGTCTTCTTCAGCCGCAGAGTGGACATGCCTTATCGCTACCGCACCTCCCTTGCCAACCTGAACTACACCAGCTCCAAAGTGTATGAGGTGAGGACTGCTGCAACCCCCACCCCCACCTCTGGGCTTTGGTTTCCCTGGATGGGTATTGGGTGCTGAGGGTGGTCCTTGCTCACGCCGGGCCTCTCTGCTGGAGGCTGGCCATTGGGGTATAGCTGGTGCAGTTTCCAGCAGCAGGGGCAGTCTCTGGGCCTCTTTGGCGTTGCTAGTGGAGGAGTGAGGAATGGGGTACTTCTTTCTATAGGGTATAACTGGGGACCCAACAGATAGGCCCTTAGTCCTCTGAGGGGGTCTGACTGTGGCACTGGTGATGTTCCCCGCCCCACCACCCCCTGCAGGCCCAGAACGTCTACACAGGTGACATCATCAGTGGCCTCCGTGAAGAAACCAACTTCACAGTGATCATCAATCCTTCCGGAGTGGTGATGTGGTACCTGTACCCCACCAAGAACCTTGAGACGTCCTGGCCATGAGGCGCTAGCTGTGGCGGTACCACTGAGCCCGGACCGCAGGGCCTTGACCTGACAAGGCTCCCTGCTGGTCATGCTGATGCCCTCGTGCTCAGTTCCACAGCCTGCCCAAGTGTGGACATATTTGGGAACTTGTCTTGGGCCGAGTTCCGTGGCCTTTGGGATGGCCCCACAGACCTTGCTGAACAGCTTAGCCAGCCTCCTAAGTGCCACAGACGAGCGAGCGCTCGTGCCCAGTGGGAGCCCAGCCTCTGGCCCTCTCTTTCAGGACTTGGAATATTTCTAGTGAAGGTCTGTCAGGCCCCCTACCTCTGAGCCGTGTGATCGGCTTTCTACTTGAAGGAGGCCTTGCAGGCTAGCCGCACAGGTCAGGAAGAGACCTGGAACCCTCGAACCACCAATAAAGCTGTTCTCGAGGCCAGTGTTTGTAAGACAGACCTGGGGCCCAGCCACCTCCAGGGATGCTTTCTGAGTGAGACCATGCAGGATGTTTGTTTAAAAGGTGCATCACATGGAGGTTGTGGCATCTTTTGGCCTCTATCATTCTTTCTAGAAACTCCCGCCTCCCTCATGCCAGGGAGCCACTCTGGTGAGGCAGAAGAGCAGTGGTCCAGGCCCTTTGTCCTGTGAACCCCTGTCCCCAGTTGAGATGCCCCTGGGTTTGCTGCCACACAGTAAAAGGGCCTGGTCTTCTCAGCACTTGTCAGCATTGTCTTAGGCAACTTTCAGCCCATCCATCGTTGGGGGGTGTAAATGGTTAATTCGTCAACAAGCTGAGAGGTTGGTGGTTCAAACTCACCCAGAGGCACCTCAGAAGACAGGCCTGGCCATCTGCTTCCAAAAAGTCAGCCCTGAAACGGCAAATGAGCCAGTTTTTCTCTGCACGCCAGTCATCACAGGTCTGACTGAACCAACACCACCGCCGCCCCTTTCTCTGTTCAGACAGCCTGGGGCTCTCAGATGGGGGCTCAGCTCTGCCTTTCTCCTCATGGACCCCCTTTCAGCCTGGCTGTGCCCCTTGCCCCAGCACCGCTGCCTCACTCCCATACTCTCCTCTCCCAGCCTGGCGGTGGAGGAGATGCAAATCCCCCAGCTGCTTCCAGAGACCAGTCCAGGGGCTCCGTCTTAAATCCACTTCCTGTTCTGCCTAGGGCAAGGAGTAGCAGTCCAAGCCAACCAAAGACAGCTGCTTGACTTCCTCCTCCCTTTGGCTTTTGTTTTTTTCTTGGAAGAAAATACCTTTATTCTAATTAATTCAAACAATTACATCACAGCAGTTAATTTAAGAAGGCCTCACAAACTTCTGCTGGGCCCCAAATTTAACTTCACCTCCATTTCTCCTCCTCAGTGATAGTGAAGCAAGGGGGTTGTTAATGAGGGGGGAGGGTTAACGAGGGTGCTGCACACGCTACACGTCACTACCAATCAGAGCTGTACGCTAAATTAACTTGGTCAGGAAAGATGATGTTCCGCTTCTTCAGTATGCTAATCCATTTACAAATCAGCATTGCTTCAACACCTCGCTGAACCCCTCACAGAGCTCGAGATCCCCCTGGTTCTGGGAACAACTCATAGTGGCGAGGGCCAAACTGCTGCTGCTCCAAGTATGCTGGCTGGGCACCCTGAGGTTCCTGGCCAGTGACGTAGGCCTTGTGGGCTCAGCGTGGCTTCCTCCAGCCAGTGTGAAGCCTCAGGTGATGGCATGGCCCAGCGTGTGCCCAACAGCAAAGCCCACAGCCACACCAGTCATGGTGGTTGTCATCCAGGCCATCACACCTGGCTGCCTGGGAGCAGCAGCAGGTGAGCCAACTGCTGCCGGAGGGGCTGCTGCTGGCAGGTGTTCAGCTAGGGCTGGCCTGGGGGCAGCTCTCATCTGAGGCACCGTGCTGGACAGAGGGGTCACCATGGCTCAGGTTTCCACATGGTATCTTCACTTGGCGGTGGAGGGGATTCTGGATACTGGCAACTCTTGAGGACCGAGCTGAGCAATGTCTGCTGAGATGAAGCTCCCTTTGGCTTTTATTTCCCAACTTTTGCTCCAGCTCCTCCCTGGTAGCACACCCCCATTGGAAAGCCAGCAGCAAAGCAAGCTGGTTAGGTCCCTCTTGGGCCCAAGCCATGGACTCTGCTGCCCTGAGAGATCGCTCTGGGCAGACCTCACTCACTCTTTCCATTGGGTTTCGAGGCCCTTGTATTTAGTGGGACTCCTGGTGTGGTGCTGTAGAATGAGCAGACTGTGAACTACAACAAGGTCGACAGCCTCAGGACCAAAGTCTGTTCCACACTCAGGTATCATGGAGCCTAGGGACTGAATGTGTGGATAGGAAGTCAGGACCAGAGTTCAGTCTGGATCCAACCAGTGGGTCCCTTGCCTGCCAGGCCCAGGGATAGTTGTGTGTCTTCATCTGTGTCCTGGGAGTCCCTGACTGATTCCATCTCTTCACCTTTCATCCCCCGCCTGCCCCTAGCCCACCTATCTCTCAGGACATTGCTTCACTCCCTTCTACCCAAGGCCAGTTAGGGACTCAATTCTTTTCTACCAGTTTAAGGCATCCTTGTTTGGCCCCAAAGGCACCCCTTCTCATTAAAAAAAAAAAAACCCACAGAGTTTTTCAGACACAAAAATAAAATAATACAATGAACCTGCATGTGTCTCTCACTCACCTTGAACAGCTATAAGCTTGTGCTATGTTTGAAGAAATAATGGCCAACAGATTACTAAATTTGATTTAAAAAAAAAAACCACCTACATATCCAAGGTCAATAAATGCCAAGAGATCTATACCTTCATACATCAACTATCCGTTGCCAAACACTAAGAGAGGGTCTTTAAAAACAGCAAGGGAGAAGTTACTCTTCACACACAAGGAGTCCTCAGTAAGATCAGCCGCTGTTTTCTTACCAGGAATCATGGAGACCCAAAGACAAAGCACTGAACGAAAAATGCCCAATAATTCTACATCCAGCGCTGAAGGAGGCAAGGTGGTATAAGCAGCTCCGGGCACCTATCCTCCAGGAGGAGAGGGTAGGGGACAACAAGCAGAAAGTGATAGTACCAGCCTTGCGTGAGTGACAGTGAACAGCTGAGAGAGTGAGTATCAGCAGGCAGGTGATGTCTCAGCAGGTCATCTGGAAAAGTCACTAAGTTAATGGACTACCACAGTCTTTAGCAACAGGGAAGGAAAAAGGTGGGGGGGAGCCGTAGTAAACTCTGAGGAAGCAGGATATACTGAGTTTTAGAACTGCAATATAGTACATGTGAACTGTCGAAAAGAATCTTGGAAGCAAGATAAAAGCGAACCACCACAGACAAGGAAACACAGTAAGACTACGCAGCAATTTCTCCCCAGAAACCATGGAGGCCGGAAGGCAGTGGAGTGATACACTAAAATTGGGGATGGGAGAAGCTCTAGCAAAAGTCTTCCAAAAAGTCAAGAAGGAAACATTTCCTAACTCATTCATGAGGTCAGCTTTACCCTGATAACAATACCAGGAGAAAAGAAAATTACTAACCAATATTCTTGATGAATAGCAATGGAAAATCCTCACCAAAATAAGATGAATCCAACATCATAGTTAGTTATACAGCATCACAACGTGGAATGTTCGCGTGGTTCACAATATTCTTCAGAGTGTCAATCTTTGTAACACACTACGACACCAACACAATGAAGGGGAAAATACATGAGCATCTCACTTGGTACCAAAAGGGCGTTTAACAAGACCCAGCATCCTTTCTTGATGAAACTACTTAGAACTCTAGGAATACCGGGGAAATGCCTCAACATAAAAGAGGTCATTTAGGAAAAACCCATAGTGATTAATTATCACAATGATTAAAGACTGAAATCGGCCCCATTCTGTCTTAGTCTGGGTTCTTTAGAGAATAAAATCCAAGACATGGAATGTTTCTACTAAAGGTTGGTCAGGCCCTGCCCTGAGCCATGTGATTTTATATATATATATGGAGCTCTGGTAGTGTAGTGGTTACGAATCGGGCTGGGAACCTTAAGGTCAGCAGTTCGAAACTACCAGCTGCTCCGCGGGAGAAAGATGAGG